GGGGGGGGGGGGGGGGGGGGGCACTCTCTAATGCATCGTCCTGCTGGGCCTTTAATCTGAATTACCACAGAAAAAACAAAAGGTTAATCACGTTGGGAGACCTCGCTTCAGCTCTGACCACCCAGCTCCTCTCTGTCGGCGTTTTCAGTTTCAGCTGCATTATCTGTAAAGACACTGAGAACGTAGAGGTTTGTGTGTGTGTGTGTGTGTTCATCCCAACCCTGTTTCTGTCAGATTTCCATCCATCACAACACAAACGTATTATTTGTTGAATCAGGGTGTAAATGCTTCCTGAGGCACGTTCTCGTTTCTCAGAATCACGTTCAGAACCTTCATCTTCTCGACCTAAATTCTCTCATTTGGACCTTCTTATCTTTATTTCCTGCTGTGCCTAAAAGCTGTTGGGCAAATTACATTGAGATTCAAGAGGTTATCTTTCAGTGGTGATGGGGATTGCAGCAGCCTAAAGGATCACCACAGGTTAATGTTTTTTTTTTCTTTCACCTAAATGCCGTGTGGCTGAGCCTTAATGAGCACAACTCTTATAAAAAAAACAGCTGCTGAGAAATGGATTCAAAAGCTTTTGTAAATCTTTTAAATGTGAGTTTTTTTGTTTTTCTTGCAGGGTGGTGGGACCTGCCGTGACCTTTAAAGTGGGCCCTAACTCTCAGAATGTCAGCACTGCAGATGTGGCCAACCTGGCCGGTAAGTTCTCCTCKGCTGGCTGACGTTGTCTTTAGATTGACGAAAAGAGAGGCCATTATGTTTGGCTTGCTGCTGCACCTGAGGCCCCCGATGAGCCTTTTTTAGAACAGACGACACCTCAGTGTGTTTTTCACCTGTTTTCACCTTATTTTAACCTTTGCTGTCCTCTTTAGGACAAATTAACCTGCATCCTTTTGGAAAATATTAGGATTTATAAAATGTGAATTTAAAAAACAGAAAACAAAAACTTTTTGTCTTGGACCTGGGTTTTATTTACAATTGAATACAGTCAACATATCAATTGTTGAACCTAATGAATGCCAATTTTAATTGGAAATTTAAGTTAATTTTGAATCTTATTGCAGAAAAAGTTGGGATAGGGCAACAAAAAGTTAAAGTGGTACAAATAAGAAACTGGTGGAAATGCATTTTGCAGCTGATTAGGTTAATCGGCAAAAGGTTAATGGTAAATATAAAATAACACATTTTAAAGATGCTGGATGTCTGACATAAAATGAGCAGAGGTTCACCTGTCTGCACAGACCTGGGTCTAACAGTAGTGGAATAAAACCAAATGTCAGGATTAGATGTTCGTGATCTTCAGGTCTTTATGCAGAAACGCATTAAAAACTGGTCTGATTCAGTTCTGGTCATCAATGCATTAACATAAACATTAACATTAGACTTTATTTCATAAACATTTATTTTAACTGTAAAATAACGATTGTAAAAATACTGTAGGATGTTTAGTTTTTATCATTTTTAAACTAAAATTTTAAAAATATATTACATGGATGGGGCCATTTTATTTCCACACAAAGCATTCTGGGTAAATGATGACGTGGATAGGTCCTCGGTGCGAGGCTGCTAGCGAGCTATATCCACCCTGAAGGTTAATCTTGGACAATATGGAGGACAACAATTTAGCTTGTTTGTCGCGCTAGCACCAAGCTAATACATATAGGCAATATAGAGTGGGAGCTAACGCAAAGGCTAACAGGCTAAGCTGAGGTTGTTCTTCCATGAAGCAGCTCTGTTGTCCTC